CACCCCTGACCTCCTACTAGGAGCTAAGGACGGCCTTGAATTCCTGCTCGTCCCTTCCGCCTCTGTCTCCCAGTGCTCGGATGGCAGTGTGTGCTGCTACACCCGCTTTCTGCAATGCTGGTGATGGGGCCCAGGGTCACGTGATGCCAGGAGTGTGGTGTACCCGCGGAACCCCAGCCCCAGAGCACTTCAGATGACACACTCAACACTCCGGCCTCGGGTGGACCGGTACAGGGCCAGGTGCAAAATCCTCCACTATCAGCCTCAAAATAGTCCAGATTTTTTTTTTTTTTTTGGTTTTTTCGAAATAGGGTTTCTCTGTGTATTTTTGATGCCTTTCCTGGAACTTGCTCTGTAGCCCAGGCTGGCCTCGAACTCACAGAGATTCGCCTGCCTCTGCCTCCTGAGTGCTGGGATTAAAGGCGAGTGCCACCATCACCCGGCTATATTATGTATAGCCTGCTCCAAGCCCTAACCTAACCTTAGAGGTCAACCGGCCTTCTGTGCCCTGAACACCGCATGGCGGTGCCACATGCTTTTAACCCCAGCACTCAGGAGACAGAGGCAGGAGAATCTCTGTGAGTTCGAGGTCAGCCTGGGCTACAGAGTGAGTTCCAAGACAGCCAGGACATAGAGGGACCTTCTCTCAAAACAAAAACAAACACACCAAACAAATAAGAGACAGAGAGAAACAAAGAGACAGAGACAGAGAGAGATAGAGAGAAGACAAAAGACACGATCTCATCTCCCTCTGGTATCACAAAACCCCAGCCTCTGTGCCCACCGCCACCCCCATCTCCTCCGTGTCTCTGCCTCTTTGCTGGGTGCCCAGGCCGGGCCACACCCTCCACAGCTGTTCATGTGCAGCTGGCTCCACGGGGGCCGCTTTCTCAGTCATCCGGGGCCAGGCCAGGCCTCCATCACCATCCTCAGACACACCACCGTGCTCTGACCCCCTAGTTTCTTCTTGTAAAACCTCCAGGAGACACATGGCCTCTGCAGCCCGACCTGCGCTCCAGACACAAGTCCCGGCTCTCTGGCTCCTGAGCGCCAGCCTCTCAGCCCGGCCTGCCCTCCTGGGCCTCACCCCGCCATGCCCTTGGTCCTTTAGTGCAGACACTGTGGCTCTGCAGCCTGCAGGGACCGGGACCCGGGCACAGGTCGCAGAAGGCTGTCTCCCTGTGCCTGTCTGCACCACCGGTCTGGCCGGCAGGGGTTCCCGGCCTAGCAGGTCCTCAAGAACCCTTGACAGAAAAGGCCCAGGGTAGAAAGGGCCAAAACAAAACAGGAAACCTTTCGAAGACTCGGAGACTGAGGCAGGGGGGTGGCGGATGGGAAGTCAGCCTGTGCTACAGTGAAAGCCTGCCTTAGGGGGAAAAAGAACCTTTAAAAAAAAAATCTGCCAGTGGTGCCACCACTCAGAAAGCTGAGGCCGGAGGCTTAGGAAGCTGAGGTCTTCCTCGGCTGTGTCGTGAGTTTGAGGCCACTCTGGGCTACGTCTCAAACAAACAAACAGCATTAAAACTGCAAGGAGAGGGCTGGCCGGATGGCTCAGCAGGTAAATGCACGTGCTGAGAAACCTGAGGCCCTGACTTCGATCCCCAGGACCCACATGGCGGTCAGACAGAATGACCTGCAATTTGTCCTTTGACCTCCAGACACGCACCATGCCCCGCCCACAAAAGTAACAAAATAACAAACTAAGGAGAGGACCAACTCCCACAAATTAAAAACAAAAACAAAAAATGAAAAACAAAACCAAATTAAAAAAAAAAAAACTCTCGGGGCTGGAGAGATGGCTCAGTGGTTAAGAGCACTGACTGCTCTTCCAGAGGTCCTGAGTTCAGTTCCCAGCACCCACATGGTGGCTCACAACCATCTGTGATGAGATCTGGCACCCTCTTCTGCCCTGCAGGAGTACATGCAGACAGAACACTGTATATGTAACAAATAAATCTTTAAAAAAATTATAAGCCAGGCGGTGGTGGCGCACGCCTTTAATCCCAGCACTCAGGAGGCAGAGCCAGGTGGATCTCTGTGAGTTCGAGGCCAGCCTGGGCTACAGAGTGAGATCCAGGACAGGCACCAAAACTACACTGAGAAATCTTGTCTCGAAAAACAACAACAACAAAAAACAAACCTCTCACATTTCGAGCCAAATTCCCTTGTACTGGAGAAGAGCATTACGGAGTTACGCAGACATGGGAAGCCAGAGTTTGCAAGTACAACAGCCAAGTAGACACAGAGAAAACCAGAGCTTGCCTTGAAATTCAATGATCAGTGTAGACCTGGTGCCGACACCAGGACACTTACAGGCCCACAGGCTGGGGTGGGGGCTGGGGTGGGGTGAGGTCGGGGGTCAGGATCCAGGGAGCCCCAACCCTTTTCAACATCTCCGTTCTGGTAGCCCATACTCGACACCCCAGCACTCCAGGAGGCTGAGGCAGGAGGATTACTACAGCTTCCTGGCCACCCAAATCTGCCACATATCTCCGAAAGTAATTTTATTAGGTCTTTAAATTTTTTAAAGATTAATTTAATTTTTAGTCTGTGTGTGGATTCGTGCATACGCATGCAATGTCTGTGGAGGCCAGAAGGGGGCGCTGGGTCCCCTGGAGTTGGGGGCCACCGTGTGGGTGCTGGGAACCAAACCGGGGTCCTCTGCACACGCAGTAAGCGCCCTTAAGACTGGGCCATCTCTGCAGTCCCCTCCGTTAATTCTTCAATGTACACCTCTTTTGTTGTTTGTTTTTTGAGACGCAGTTTCTCTGTGTAGCCCAGGCTGTCCTGGAATTCACTCTGTAGCCCAGGCTGGCCTCAAACTCTGCCTGCCTCTGCCTCCTGAGTGCTGGGACTAAAGGCGTGCGCCACCACACCCCACTCTTTTTCTTAATTTTCAAAATATTTTTGTTGTTGTTGCTCAGGCTGGCCGGGAACTCACAGAGATCCACCTGCCTCCACCTGAGTGCTGGGATTAAAAGCCTGGGCCACCATGCCTGACCTTTAAAAGGCATCGTGAAGATCCTCTCTCCCCAGCCTTCCATCTCCCATGTTTTGGGCCATCCAGGGAATGAGTTCAGCCCTTGTGGAAAGGGACCGGGAAAATGGACTGGCCAGGGCCAGTTGGAAACTTCACCCCACCCTGAGTCAACTGGAAACCAAATAGAGGTTTCTCTCATTCACAGCCACATGGGGCCAACCTCACGCTGAACTGCACCCCCCCCCCCAACTCAGTAACCGCTGGACCGCCCACCCGGGGAGAGGCTCGTGAGCCACACAGTGCTTCAGGAATCCACAAGAGCCTTGCAGCAGGTGCTTAGGGACTCTGGGTGTGCTGTGTGGCTCTGGGGCATCACCTGGTCCCCTCGGAGCCTCTGGATCCCCGGTGGGAAAGGAAGGGCTACAAGACCGGGAAACAATGGAGGCCTAAGCAGAGAAAGCCTGCTGTTCTGGACGGGAGGTTTTCTCACCTGTCAGCGCAGCCCCGCGGCCTCCTCCGCCACACCCAGGCCTGTCCCTGCTCCCTTGGGCCAGGCCAGCCGAACAGATAAACAAGCCAAGGGATGTGGGGCAGGCAAGTCCGGGCGCTGGCTCCCCTGAGCCCCTGGCGGGGCTCCCGGGGCGGGGTGGGGGAGCAGCCGGGCCTTTGTCTGGGCTTTCTGAAGGGAAGCACTGGGAGCCAGCCTTCTTGGCCAGGGAGGGATGTGACAGCTCCCACCCATCGGTGGGTGTGGTGGGTCACGGGTTGATCCCCAGAGGAAAGTTGTCTCGTCCGAAACACACCCAGAGAGGGAAGGGTAGGGGGAGCGGCCACCAGCCCAGCCAGCTTGGCTGGGCTCCTATGTCCCGAGCGAGCGCTGGCCGAGGTGAGGACAGGGGCCCTGCGGGGCAGTGACACTACCCCAGTCACCAGGCAGGCAGGGTTGTGACCTAGGAAATGCTTCCCCACCCCCAGGCCTGCCAAACACCCCTCAACCACCTACCCTTCCCACCTGTGGGAGTAAGGGGCTTGGGGGGCGCCTCACATGGCTTGGAGGGGCTGCGTGTCTGAATGACTGGCTGTACGTGCTCTTTGGGCCTCGGGCTCTGTCCAAAGTCTCCCACTGCATCCGCCTCTCTCACAGACCCACACAAGCAGACCCCAGCTCACACCAGCGGGGTCTGGGGACTGAGTACCACCACGGTCTTCAACCTGGTCCAGTCACCCCTTTGAGTCACACCACCAGGTCCCCCCCCTTTCTCCTGCCGGGGGGGGCATTCTTAGAGGGAAAGGGGGAAATGAGATTAGAGCCCCTGACAGGGAACCGCCCGCCTAGTTCTCCGCGGAAATCCACCTCTCCAGCCCGTGGCCACTCGGGACCACATCTGATGGGCCGGAATCGGTTTTGCCAGGAGTCTGCGGACCCCGGTGAGGCCACGAGGAGGGCAGCGCGCAGGAGGGACCGACCGAAGCTCCAGGAGCGGCTAGCCGAAGCTGGGGGAGGGGAGGCAGGGAGCACCCTGGCTTTTGAGGAAGGGTCCCCACTACTCCCGAGGTCCCGTAGGCTCTCGGGGGGCGCCCACCCACAGGTGGCCCAGCTTGGATGAAGGGTCGCGCACGCGTGGGCCCCTCTCCTTCGCATCCTGCAAGCGATGTGTGGGTGCAATCCGGGTCCGTCCCCGTCCCCGTTCCCCCCAGATTGATTGAGGACCGGGCCTGGAACGCGAGGCCCAGCTCGATCCCTCCCCTTTGCAGCTGGGGACGGTCTCCCCGCGTCGCCTCCGGGTCCCCCGTTGGGGGCCTGGGGCGGCGGAGGGCGCGTGGCCGGGTACTCACTCCATCTCCCGCGAGGTCCGTGGGCGGTGCAGCGCGGGGCAGGGCCGACTCTAGGGCCTGGCGGCCAGGGCTTCGCGGCGCGGGGGCGGCACCGGCGCGGGCATCGTCCCCAG